ATGATAAATATATCAAAAATGCATGTGGGTACTCAAATGAAAGCTCTTGATGAGTGTAACATCGGGATATAACTGTAAAAGATTAGTAGAAATATTTAAAGGTAATATTTTAGTGATTATCATCGAGATCTTTTACATTCAAAAATACACTTAAGAAGAAATAAAGTACAAACAAATTATAAATTTAAAATATTTTTTATTTCATTACCAATAGATAATAAAAAATTTACAAATATTCCCTAATAACAATTTTTATACACAGAATAGAGATTATTATACTGAACGAAATAATAAAAATATATATACAATAATACTTTTAATAATGCCATTGAGTATTGCTTTTTTGATTATATAATTCATATTGAAAATGCAATTAATACTTGAGATTCCATTACATCTGTGTTGGGCTGCCCCAAGTCCTTGAAACCGTAATTCGGGATACGCGCTTGCCAATGGTCTGTACAATAAAGCCGATCTTTCGTAATTTTTCGTGATCTAGGATTTTTCGGCCGTCGAAAATGTAAGCCGGTTTAGTCATTTCTGAATAAATCCGCTCGTAATCCAATTCCTAACAATTGATAAGTAGTAAGTAGCGTAAAAATTATTTTTTATACAACAGATAATAATTTATTTACAGCTCATGAAATATAATTAAAGATACTTACAATAAATTCATCCCATTCAGTGCACAAAACAATAGCGTGAGTGTTTTTAGTTGCGCTGTAAGCGTCGTGGTAAATATTGACACGATTTTTAATGTTATCAACGTCAAAAGCTGATAAATTGTCAATAATCTGAGATTCTTCAACCTGCAAAACAACAAAAGTTAAACAATTATTAAAATAAATCCAATGGTGAAATTTATCGATTATAATCCACTGAACAACCCAAATATAGATATATAATTAAGAAATGACCTTGTATCTTGTGAACTACTGACATTTTTAAAGATATAAGCTCATCCTGATGTTACACTGATCAAGAACTTTCATTTGAGTACCCACATGCATTTTTGATATATTTTTCATATATACATATATATAATATATATAAATATAAAAAATATATGAAAAATTGATATGGGTACTCAAATAAAAGGTCTCGATGAGTGTAACACCGGGATGTGCTTATATCTTCAAAAATGTAAATATTTCACAAGATACAAGGTCATTTCTTAATTATGTATCTAGAGATAGCGAATTTTCGAATACAGTCTAAATACTTATCATAATAAATTAAGTATCGGTGAGAATAATATGAAACCTTGAAAAGGCATAAATTCAAATCGAGACCTTTGCAATGAGATTAAATTTCACTAAAAAAACCGATTTTATCATATGATTATCCTAGATACAATATTTTTCTTATCTCTTAATAATATAGATAATAATAATAATGCAACAATTAGCCGACGTTTTAAATTTTTGAATATTCTTTCATTTATTAAATTATAACTAAAAATATTTCTTAAATATTGCACTTGTAGCTTTTCAAGTTTTTTACAAATGAAATCTTTTTTTTATTTTATTTATTTATTGAAAAATAAGAACGCCGATCGGCAATGTATGTACATAAAAAATAACAATATATGTATGTATATTTTTAGTGATCTTTGAATTTAATATAAATATAAATAAAGAAAAAGAAAATGAAATTAGTGACACTGTCCATGAATTAGTTGTGTAGTATGATATTTTCGTTCTGTGTAATGAAATCAGATAGTGAATCCTCATATAAGTTAGTGAACTGACCGCGTTCGTTCATTAGATTGCCTATTTGTTAATAAAAAAAATTCTAAAAATTTTTAGACAAAAGCTAACCTAATTTTAATGAAATAATAATAAAACTTACGCTCTAACAATATCTTCTTTATAAAAAATATCCTGAATTTCAACATTAGGAGCTACTCGGTCAAATCTCGGCTCATATTTTGGAGGAAAAGCTTCATAAACAACATACCAAATCGGTTTGTCCTCCGATTTCACTGCTCCACTTTTTAACAGCGATTGAATCCTAAGAAAATTACAAAGTAAATCATAATAATATAATAATGTAATTATTAAATAAAACTTACCTGGTAAAAATGGTCCCAATGCGCTCTAATCTACTTTGAGCCATTTTAAATTAAATTTTATTTGTTTTTTATTCAATAAAACTCTTATCAATAATAATTTTACCGGCAACGATACAAGCTACCCAAGAGTCAAGAGCCAACAGCTGATTGTTAACTACAGTAACTATAAACGCACTGTAGTAGAGTGCGCACGTGTATTGCTAACTAAAATAACCTCGTTGAATAAAAATTAAATCACATTGTGACATTTAAATTGCTAAAAATCAAATCAATATATTATTTATAATTCAGGAATTATTTCAGTGGTTATAAAAATATAAATTTTGGTAAAGTATATTTAATTGTAATTTAAATGATTTAAAATATTAAATAATAGTTTATTTTATAACCTATAATTATAAATACTACATAAATATGAATTTTTTTATAATTTTATAGTAATTAAATTATTCAAAAAAAAATTTAATTAAAAAATTGCACATGTGAAAATAAAAAAAAATTGTAGTAAAAATTATTTAAAAAGATTTTTATAAAAAAATGTAATTTATTTGTTATAAAAATTAATGACAGTTGTCAGCCAATTTTAGTATCATTTTTTTTTGGATTTATTTTGTTCATTAATTACAAAAATTAATTTAGCAAATATTTAATAATTTTTTTTAACAAATAAATTGGAGCAAAAAAAAATAATAATTAAGTTAGCCAACATTTTTTATTTTGTTTAACTTATTAAATTATAACTAAAAAATATTTTTAAAAAATTGCACTTATAGTTATGAAAATTAATGTAGCAGATATTTAATCATTTTTAAAATTTTATAACAAATAAATTACGGGAAAAAAAAAATAAGAAAAAAAAATTGACATTTAGAAATTGAAAAAAATAAAAAATGCAATTTTTAAAAAATAATTTTTTGGAACTAATCTTTTTGTTAAATAAAATTAAAAAATTGTCAAGTGACAGCTAACTTTAATGTCATCTTATAGTTTTTGAAGTTTTTAACAAATAAAAAATTTTTTTGTAATAATTCTTTTAAAGTACCTAGTAGTTGAACAGGTGTCAAAGTAAAACGTATTTGACCCTACTTTTAATATATAAAGATGTAATTATTAGTTCAAATTAGTGATTTTCATGAAAATAAAAACAATTTTGAATTGATTGAAGTGCAAAATAACAAAAATAATTGAATATTTATAATTTGACAACGTTTTTAAGATAGACTATGAAAGGAGTAGTAGTTGAACAATCAATTCTGACAAGCCGCAGTAGTTGAACACTCCGGGAGCAGTAGTTGAACTAATAAAATATATGGCAATAGGCACACCAAAATTTTTTAACGTTTTATTGAAATATTCAAAGATTTATAACATATTATTGAATAATATTAAAAATAATACTGTGGATATTTAATATGTTCATTTAAAAATGAAAAATATTTGTATT